TTAGGCTACGAAATAAAGTGAAAACAAAAAGTTAAAAAAATAAATAAAAAAAATTGAGTGGGCGAGCACGTTTTGACACCCCCATCTTTGACGATTTTTAATGTTTTTTTGGCTTAGCAGAATGACTTCAAAATGTATAGGCGTGTAGGTTATATCATAGAGAACTCACAAAAAACAATTAAGAAAAACAGACTTATTTTTAGGCCCCGAAAACAAATTTGGCGGGGGCCGAATCTGGAGGTGTTCGGCCCCAGAACGGGACCCCGAACGCCCGAACGTTCGGGGGCCAGCCCGGGGGCCCCCGAAGGTTCGGTCAGGTAACCCTGTAATATATATATATATTGGGATTTCTGGTTGGCAGTTCTTTGTATTCTTCATTTTTACGTTTTTTTTTTTTTTTTCCCCCCTAAGGAAACAATCAGGGAATCAAAAAACAATATATGTTTTTTTTTCCCCGGGGTCTTTTAATATTTGTGTCTGAACGTGTGTGTGTGTGTGTGTGTGTGTGTGTGTGTGTGTGTGTGTGTGAATGTGTGTGTAGCATGTGCATGTCACATGAGAAACGTACGGGTACGACACATCATATCCGTACAGCTCCGACCCAACTGTCGGTACACTGGGGGCAGGATGCAAGGCGCGGGGGCGATTTCAAACGTGGCAGGGTAAAGCCCATTCGTATGTCCAGTTGTGGTAAGGGCGAATAAAGTCGTTTTTGCCGAAGGAGGATAGGCAGGCGACAGTGGCGTAGGACGAAAGTGAGGGGGGTGATGGAAGCCTGCCGTTCAGGGCGTGTTCATACATCCACAAGCGCTCATTCCATCAGTATGCTTTTGCAAACGAAAGAAAAAAAAAAGAACCAGAAAAAAAAAAAAAAAAAAAAAGAAAACAAAAAAAGAAAAAATAAAAAAGAAGAAAAGAAGAAAAAAGGAATTCCAATTCCCGAAAAACCATTCCAAGTACTCATACCTAAACATCTCAGCAGTTCAAACCGAAGTACTTAACGAAGGGAAAGGCGTATGGAGGTGACGTTTCAGAAGGGAGGAGAAAAAGAGATAGAGGCGAGGGAAAAGGACAAGGAAGAGCGGCGTGGGGAAAGATCCGGAAATGAGGAGGAAGAAGACGAAGGTTATAGGGAAGAATAAGCCGAAGACAAAGAGGAACGACAAGGGGAGGAGTGGGGAAGCGGCGAGAAGAGGGATGGAGAGAAGAAGAGAAGAAAAGGAGGAAGAGGGGAGTATTATCGAAATCAGGTGTGCAGAATCAGACACTTCATAAAACCATTCATTGTACACGCAAAAAGAACAAACCATTGATACGATCAGCCTCATTATTCCCAATCACTAAGCGTATCTTTACAAAGCGACAAAAAAGTTGACGTCACAACATACGACGCCCTGTTCTATTGCCGAGATCCAAATCTGTACGCAAAAAAAGGAAAAAGAAAAAAGAAAAAAGAAGGGGGATAGACAGACTATAAACAGGGGAAGGTTTTAGTAGGAAGGGAAGGGAGAAAGGTGAAAAAAAGGAGAAGAAGACGCCCTGCTCCAGCTCTGTCCTCCAGGTCCTACGTGCTCCTGCGTCCGCACAGACCATCTCGCCGGATTGCAGGGAGGGTATGGCAAATCCCTGAAGCGCTTTTCTACCCCATGCCACTTGGGGCGTCATCGGAGAAGGGGCATCTCCCAGGGACCCTGGGAGGCGAGGTGGGGGAAGAGGGGTACGAGGGGGGGAAACATGAAGGGGATGGCGAATGGGGGGAGGGGGGTGAAGATTCGGGATGGGGGTAGGAAGGGGGAGGGGGGCAAAACTCGAGCGGAGAGGGAGAGGGGAGAGAGTAGATGAAGTAGAGAAAGGAGAAAAACGATAAAAAAAAAGAGAAAAGCTAAAAAGACGTGCGAAGACGTCCCAGCCACCATCCTGGTCTCCATTATCGCCCTCACGCGCTATCCAACCACTTCTCCCAGCCAACCCCAATCAGCAAGCAGAAAGCAAAGGCAGAGGCAGCCGACAAGAAAGAGCGACACAAAGCAGATGGTGTCGGCAACGAGCGTGGCAAAACCCTTGGTTGAAGCACGCAGAAGCACCGTTTCGGAGAGGCAGGTGGCGAAGAGCAGACCCGCCACCGCAAGGTTGGGAAGCAGGGCGAGAAACAGTACGACGGCCAGATATGCGTTAAGCGTAGGCGAGAGGGGGCAGTAGCGGGGCATGGCGATTGCGGCGGGGCAAATCACGGCGCACTACATGGTGAACAGTCGGAGTTCAATGGGGACAAGATCACAAGTGTGCCTCACGCGAGGAGTGTTACCACTTCCTCCTATCAAGCCGCTCCTCCTCCTGGTCCCACTCGGCGAAAAAATCCATGCCGCCCACTGCAACGCAAAACCCTTCCGCAAAACCGGATCGCCGCTTGTTCCAAGTGCTACCGGAGCCGGTTATCGTCTGACAGGCCGATGAATAGTTCTACCGTCGCTAAATCCTAATATAGTCACCGCTCCGCCATGCATAGCATGCTTCCAAAGAAAGTTTGTTATTCCATTCACACGCTTAGTGCGCTTATCCGATGGTTACAGAGAAGCGTTTACAAACCAAAAAGCTAATCAAAAAAAGGAGGAAAAAGAAGAAAAAAGGAAAAAGAAAAAGAAGAAGAAAAAAATGAAAGAAAGAAAAACTCGTAAAGGGGTAACAATCAGGGGAGCCGTACGAAAGCACAACGTTCGTTGGCTCGCGGTGGGTACGAAGGCCAATATCTCTTGGCCCTTCCCAGTAGTGAATCGTTCTCCGGCCCAAGCGCGTCCCACTCTGCTCTCTTTGGGTCGGGGTAAGCGAAACCCCAGGGTTCAAGGATACCTGGTGGTCCATCCAAAGAGGCTTACCGCTGTCGGGGCGCTTATTATCAGAACAAAAAAAGAAAAAAAGGGGGAAGGGGAAAAAAAAAAAAAGGAAAAAGAAAAAGAAAAAAAGGAAAAAGAAAGAAGAAAAAAAAAACAAAAAAGGAAAACGAAAAAAACAAAGAAGAAAAAGAAAAAGGAAAAGGAAAAGGAAAAGAAAGAAACAAGAACAAAGAAAAAAGAAAAAACGGAGACAAGGGGGGTTCCAATTTCCGTGGGGCCAGCCTTCCCGCCATCTATCTTCCGTCCGTCCCACCATCACCTATATAGTTATATGCGTGTGTGTGTGTGTGTGTGTGTGTGTGTGTGTGTGTGTGTGTGTGTATGTGTGTGTGTGTGCGCTGCGCTGCGCCTTTGCCCTCGCGCGGGATTGCGATAAGTGTGTGTGTGTGTGTGTGTGTGTGTGTGTGTGTGTGTGTGTGTGTGTGTGTGTGTGTGCACGCTGTCGGAGGGCGTGGTTTGTCCCGGCCCTCCTTTGTGTACCAGGTCCTCGCTCAGTGTGAGTCCCTTGTTCCGGCCTACTGCTCCCTAGGCTCACCTCGTGCTGCTGTTCCTGGTATCCAGGCTGTACCTCGGCATGGACCAGTCCCAGTGATGTTGCCCTCAACAAAAGAAGTGCGCCACAGGACTTCCATTGGTCCACGCAGGCCCGCGCCTTGCTGTACAGCAGAGCACAACCGGCCTGCGACCGTGGTAGCCGCCGGGTTCGCCCTGGGACGCGGAAGTGAGAGGGCAGGCTCGGTTTTTTCAACTGCGCGTCGAGCGTCCTTCTACTGAGTTATGGGTTAGGTGCACGAGACAAAGTCGTTGTTGAAAAGGAAAAGAGAAAATGAAAACTAAAACACCAAGATTTAAACCCGCTTTTGTATGGGGAAAATCCTATGGCCGCAAGTCATTGGTATGCTATGATTTCTTGTCTATTTTTATTATTATTATCTACATAATTTTCCTATTCTTAGCTTCTCAACCGTTGTTCTGTCACTTCGAAGGGAGGGCTGTCAATTCAGGTTTCAGACTGCAGCTGGTCTCGTGGTCTGGGTCTTACCTGACCCCTCGTGTACCCGTACCAGACCTATTTGTCTGAATCACGCGGACCTCGGTGGCCAGAATAATGGACAAATACAGTGAGAATTAAGAGGAGGAAAATAAGAAAAAGAAAGAAAAGGAGGGAAGAGGTTGACAAGTCGGGTTTTAGATTCCTGCGTGAACGTAGGTCGCTGTCCAAGCAAGGTTGGGCACATAGAGATTCTGGGACGCCACCCTTCCCTCCCCTTTCCTTTTCCTGCGTTTGTTATCATTATTACTTTTACTATTATTACTCAGATTTT